GGCAAGTGAAAGATTCCCAGAAGATTGCCCGATGGGCCAGTAATATTTTGGCGTTATAAAAAAAATTATCTAATAAGTCCTACAAGCTAATCTGATAAAAGCTTTTTCAAATCCATAGAATAATCACAAAAGGACTGTAATTTAGAGAACACTGTAAGAGCATCATCAAAACAGGATGGTAGTGTGGAAAGGGCATCTTAAAAACTCTCAAAACAGATAATTTTGTGAAGTTTCTATACTTTACGCTGGATTTCACTTGTGACCTGTCGCATTTGAGTCAGTCATTTAAAAAAAAAGCCATGTGGAAATTGCAGGCCCTTAAGTCATCAATTGGAGGCGGATGAAACTATTCTGAGTTCAAACAGAATTATGACACAGCATCTGGGGTACTTTCTTCAGGAAAAGACGAGACTCAGAAAATTCAATTAGTCAAGGGCACTTCTACAGATGATGCTGTGGAAACCTGTTTCAACAAACTTCTTGATGAAATAATTGCTTACACGGACAAGTGGTTTGGAGACCTGCAAATCCCTCCACTTAGCTTCTTCCATATATTTGACCACACTATTTGGCCACTGTGGAATGAACGCCACAGTTATGGCACTGAGGAGATGACATAGCTTGAAGCAATTTTGTCAGATGAGGAGAAAAACGCAAGCACCTGTGCAGTGGGCAGACTTGAAATAAAGACTAAATCGCCAAAAGGTCAGTAAATCTCTTGAGGTTATACAGCAACATTCTGACTTTAGCCCCCACCCCCCCCAGGACCTATCCAATATCCTCATACTAGTCAATCTAATGATCACATTGTCACCATCTACAGCCACGTGTGAATGTTTGTTTAGCCTCATGGACAGACTCAAAACAAACCTAAATACCAACATGAAACAGGATGCTTTCCAGCATCTTCTCCAAGTCTCAATGTCTAGAAGTTTGTCTGACTTTGATCCAAACCCAGCTCTGGAATACTGGTTAGCACCAATGAAAAACAAAGCGACATGTATCTGCCAAGTTCAAAGGCCACAAAACACCCACAGCAAAGTCAACTGGACCACAACGTGGATTATTTTCTACTTTAGATGAGCTAGACAAAGTTCCTACCCCGCCACTACCAGATATACCAGTTGATGACGAAGGCCTGAATCAACCAGACAGTGACAGTGAATAGCCCGTAGAAACTTCTACATGATTTTGTGAAATAAACACATACACACAAAACAATCAATGCATTAGATTTGTAGAACCAAATATCTAAGATAAACGAATGAACATATGAATCCAAACAAACGAGTTAATCAATCTTGATCCAGTACATTCGGGCCAGTAAAAATATATATAAAAATATATTTCTTGCCTTAAAACAGATAGTCTAGAACGGCCTTATACAACCTAATAAAGGATGATTTTAAGATTGAAATAAAAATAGCATTCTCACAGATTAAATTGATCATACCTTTTAACATGAATCACAATAATATCTTCTGAACTTTTGTGGTTGATTTGGAAGTAATAGCTGAAGTTTACAATTGCCAGTTGCATTCTGGGATCAACAGATCATCAGGTTAAATTCTATAATGACTGTCATGCTTGTTTACAATAAGAATAGCTTCGTGTAACTTAAAAGAAATAATATAGGACTATAAGAATTTTGTTGGCATGTAAGGGCCTTAACTAATATTTAACAGTACAGACACCGATGGAGATACTGTTAAGTAAACAGTATGTATCTGTGCATAGACAATATTTGAAGGCTCAGAAGCCAAACAAGTCTGATAATTGCTACTTTACATTTTTGAAACTCATCAATAAAATAAAGGATTATCTCTGTATCATTAATTTGCAAACTTGAATTAAATGTTTCACTGACAATCTTTATAAATTACCTCCCATTGTTTTTTATATCACCAAACTTTGGTTAATATGACAGTTACCACATTATAAGAAAGGGTGCAGCTTTTATCCCTGCATGGTGTAATATGTAGGTCAAGACAAAACAAATCATTCAAAATTGGCTCTACTGCTTATACACTGGAATGGTTTATAGCTCGGAAAACATGACAATACATATCTCACAAAAGAGGTATATTTAGATATGAACGTACAACTCCAACCTTGCCCATCCCCCATTAAGTGTTCACTATATAGAGTAAAGGTAACCAGTCGGTTGTTAGGTTAATATATAAAATAAAACTTAAATTAGCTTTGTCCCTATAGAAACACTGTGTAAGTCATGGGAAGGAGCATAAAATCTATCATAGGTATGATCTTACAAGAATTAAGCTTCCTCTAATTAGCTCTCTATAGTGTGCTGATATATCTAAACTACAAGTATAGAAATGTCTGTCATACATTAGTTGTAGACAGTTGATCATATTCAATAGTAACAATTGCATGGAACTTCTGATGCAATTACATATGATTAGACAGTCAGGTTTAATGATAGGATTATAACTAACGTGTATGAATAACTTCAATCATACATACATACTTTTTATACCCATCTAGATACTAATTGGTGTTTTAATTAAACAAAAATCATCTGATTTTACAAGTCATCAACGATAAAAAACTTATGCCTCAAGCTATATGTAGCATTGCAATACTATACACCATTTATGTATTGTACAATGTTTGTTCACAAACAAAGAAAAGATGGACTTCAGACCTATTACAATCATGTGACAGTGAAATAGCACATTAAGGGCTACAAGTACCACTTATTCATACACAAGCAGTAAAGTATAAGTGAAAAATATTAATTATAAAAATATGAAAGTTCCTCTCAAGAAAGAGTAATAATGACCTTAACCTACTGTGAAATAAAAGATGGTCACCAGTTGACCATTTTGCTTTCCTGATCAGTTAGATCCATCTAGCAAAAACAGCAAAAACAAACTTTCACAGCTAAAATAAAAAGATGGTCGCTGAATGGCCATCTTATATATCTTGTCAGTTCCAAAATCAAATGGATCAAGTGTAATCTACATAGGAAACTGGAGAACATCCATTACTCCACAAGAGATAATGATAAACTTTCATCGTTAAAATTCAAGATGGCCATCTGCCATTTTGTTTTTCCAATTAGTCCTAAAATCAAAAGAGGACAACTAGGGGCAAAGTAAAACCTATGTAGGAAATTTGAGCAACTGCAAAAAATTATAGAGGTCACATGAATGGAACAGAAAATTAGGACTTGTATTACATGCAAGCAAATACAGTTTAAAGTTGGTCAGAGCATAACTGATATATAAAAAATGCTCAGAGTATTTGCTTTAGTTCAATACTGTAATGTGGAGTTTACTTTTACTGATGGTTACTGTGACTCTGTTGAGTGTATAGGAAATGTAAGTGTACATGAATGTATTACTATTTATCAATTACATTCATACTTATGTTATCAATAATAACACTTGATATGATGCTATGCCTGTAATCTCATCCATTTTAAATAATAAAAAAAATTGTTGAAATATATGGATTATAATTGACCTTTCTGTTGCAAATGTTCATAAGAACTTCTTTAGTTTTTATTTCAAATAATCCTGTATTTGGAGAAACTGATATATTGCTCAAAGCAGTAACTGTCAAACAGATGTTGGACTATTACCCATGTAATGAAAAAGGCTTACCTTAAGTGTGCACCTACTCCATATATGTGTACTGTCCAATGTTCAAGTTGAGTAAATGTTTTCTACCTATACTTATGTGTAGAAACTTTGACACAACAAAGGACTAACAATTAAACATTTATAGATAACAAAATTTAGAATGTAACATACCATTGTTATCTTACAATAAAATGTACACATCGCCTACAAACTCACCATAGCTACAAAATATGTTGTAGACCACCACGTCCCCTCCCATCCCAAGCTAAATCTACCGTATTGGGGAAAACTAATACAACCACATGGTTATAGTGACAGAGAGGAGAGAAATAGAGCGAGTATGTAGCCAACAGCTCACAAATCAAACTGTAACAACACCGAACTTACTTGTACACAGAATTTTATACCCACTAAAACACAATTTCCACAAAATTGGCCAATGACTGACTAAGTCCCATGTTGAGTATACAGGACTACTTCAGTAGACTTTCAGTACGACCATAACTATCTAGCAAATGGTAGAAAAATGGTGGTAAGTGTATTCTGAACACAGTTACACTTGTACAAGCATGCAAAGTATGTCACAACTGACTGTCACATAAACTGACTGCAAAGAGTTAACTGACAAGACTGAATTCTCATTTGCACAAAATTGACCAACAGAATACCAAAGGTCAATAGGTGCAAACCAAAGGTAAACAATTTCAAATAATTAGGCAAGAAATTTAAAAGTAACGACAAATCCTACTACACCCATATGTTGAGTAACTGGGTTGTGCCCGACCTGATAAACAGATTGGGAAATAAAGAAACATCTACATCCTCTGATTTGGTAGGATGTGCGAAGTCCACATCATACCTTTATTAAAAAGGATTTTTATCCACAAAATATACATGTATTTCTTAAAACACAAGTCGTAAAATGCTTCTTAAAATGATCACACAAAATAGCAATACTTACAATAAATTGACTAAAACATGTATCTTGTAAACTATATTTGTAACAAAAAAAACTTGAATATTTGACAAAAAATTCAAATATCAGATGTCCAGTACATCCCCTCAAATTCAAGGATATTCCCAACCTAATTAATTCAAATAAACTGACAAAAAATAACTTGTTGATTAGTGAGCACGTAAGTCCAAGAACGCATTTCAATCTATGTGAATCCATTTCTAAAACGAATCTGTGATAGGATTAGTTCAACTTGCACATCAAAATGTTTACAAATATACAACAGTTTGAAAACCGAATGAAAAAAGAAACAAGGATGGAATAACAAAATTAATATGAAAATTCATTAGTACCATCGTTTTAATACAGAGGAAAAACAAAAATATGTACTTGGATAAAAATGACCAATGTTTTGTTTTGGTATTCTAATAGATTACCTTCAGCGATGACATCTTCGACTGTGCAGCTAAATCTTCCAACATTTAACACTTTTCCAATATGTGGATTCTGTTGACCTGTGTCAATCTTCGAGAATAATTTCTTCATCGTGTCAGTGTTAGTTTTGCTCTCACTTTTGGAATGGCAGTTGTGTCGAATGTATATGATATGAAGTAGGCGGTTTTCCCTGATATAATTTCATGCGGTCAGGGTCGATCCGAGTTTCCTGAATTATGTCTTGACCATTACTTATGCACAACGGGTACATCTAAAATAAACGCAACCAATAATCTTGTTTCTATAGATCTGTGATTCAGTACGTTGATGAAGGTGACAGTGTCATTATCGATGAATCAGAAGGTGTCATCGAGCACCTGCTACCAAAATATGGTGGAAATCTCGTCTCATAAGTAAATCACGTGACTATAGGTAAACACCACCAACACCTGAACTGCTCATATATCAACATCATGCCATCCATTCGTGAATTAACTATGTTCCTCTTATTATATCCGCTGCTATGCATCAAATTAGATTGAAAGAAAACTCCGAAAAAACATTTGATTTTCTACTTCCGGTGAAATCTTAACTTAAATCTCGCGAGAGCATCATTTATTGACAATATGGAGGACAACGCGGGAGACAAAATCCCAGAGCCGGAAAAAAATGATAATTTATCTCATCAAAGGTCATTAACGAATAATTTGGTCCTTCTACATGTTTCACCTTGTTGTTTTCACGTGTAGCGTAACTTTGAGCATACTTTAAGTAATTCGTTTGCGGTGACGTAACTGGAGTAACTGCTTACAGGTTGCAGCAGCTGAAGTGAAGGCTATTTTTGCAGAACAAAGATGCATTGTCAGCTTATCGAAGTCAAATATGTACTTTTTTCGCCACCTTAATAGCTTTGATCAATGAAACTAGAGATAATAATATAGACAAATATACATGTTATGATGCTCTGCAGATGCGACGAAGACTTAATTTTCAGTGAAGGGGGGTTACTCCCCTTGACGAATGATACCAATTTCCTTGAACTTTTAGGTTTGCATGTAGAAATACACACGCAAACATGTTTTTTGAAGATGCGATTTAGGTCTAGATGTAATGAAAAACTGAATCAGAATGAAAATGTTTATCTTTTTAATATTTTAGGATGGAAATTAATATGGATACCTCCATTGGTGATACTCCTGTTCAAACAATTACAGGCACCGCAGATTCTCAAGATAGGTCAACAGTAGATCAAGGTAAACTATTAGATAATTGCATGCCCATATAATTGTAATGGTGAAGTTCCTTCTTTTGAATGAAGTCCATAAAGTATTTTCACTTTACTAATATGTAAAATTACTTGAGTATATTCTATAACAACATCACTAAAATTAACACCATAATTCGAGTATATTCTGTAACATCATTACATGAATATATTCTATAACAACATTACTTGAGTATATTCTATTACAAAATTACTTGAGTATATTCTATAACAACATTACTTGAGTTTATTCTATAACAACATCACTCGAGTACATTCTCTAACACCATAACTTGAGTATATTCTATAACAACATTACATGAATATATTCTATAACAAATTACTTGAGTATATTCTATTACAACATTACTTGAGTACATTACATAACAACATTACTCAAGAATAAGGGGAGCTAACTGATTTCAGCTATAGATAGAAGAACATATACTAGAATATTATGACAAAGTCTCTAAACCCTTTACATACATGTCCCTGATTTATACATATATTAATTGGTAGTTTTGCTGCATCACACTCTTACATGTTTCTGCTTCTTTTACATCCAGGAAACTAATATGATGCCATTTGTAGCTAATTTACTGATATATCTTTTTCAGTTGTCGCACAGAATCCTGGAGCTGGAACAAAATTAAATTCTGGAGAAAATCCACCAGACACCTCATCACTGTGCTATTGGTAAAACATCTTTTTTTAAGTTTATTTTTGTTATAACCATTTAAATTTTTGCAAAGTTAAATGGTAAATATCAAAGACTTGATTAAATGTTTTTCTCAATGGAGTGTTAGCAATTTCACATTCACATAATTTCACATTTTTGAAAGTCATAATTTCTGGTCTGCACTTTGTGTCACTGACCCATTAGTGTCCTTGACTCATGTTAGTACAACATTCACCACACAGTAACTACTAGCTATCTTTGGTGATGTAGCAATTTTGTAAATATATAAATGATTTTGATATTTGTTTTGATTGAAGAAAGGTAAGAAGGAAAAGAATGGGTGAGAAATTCAATGACATGACCTGTCACATGGTACATGTGACGTTGTAGTGTTACTTTGACCGACACTGTCTAATTTGATACCTCATAATATAGTACTGATTTTTCACAATACCGATACCCTAAATTGAAATTTTTTATACTAAACACTAGATATCGTTCTACATTAGCTTGAGTTCATAAAACTGTTGAAATAAAACAAAATTAATGGAAATTCCTCACAGAAGGACTTTGTTTCTGTGATAGTCAATCCTATATGTACTTACCTCCCTGGACATGTTTGGTGCTTACATTTGATGATATGTGTAATCAGTTCCATATATATACTTGTGTGAACATTCTTACATACACAAGAGAATTATGCAGATATCATCTAAATTGATAAAATGATGAATCCCATCAACCATTCAGCAGTACAAGCATATTTATTAACTGAATGACAAGGGAGTTTGATGTTCAGATTTCCCATGTGTTTTAAATATGAAGGACTGAAGGTGAAAATCATTCACCTACCAGGACTGGCAGAACAAAATTGTAATTATTTGTAGCATACAACATGTTGATATTTTTAGCACACCATCGGATGATGCTAGTATGCATTGTATAATCAAGCGAAGTATGAATTCATTAGGATTTGTTCTTCCATTTCAGCGGAAAGGGAAGAAATCTTGGTACAGTGGAGTTACAGTGTGGATTTTGCTATAAATGGTTCCATTCTGAGTGTATTGGCTGCTATATTGGGTATACAAATTTAATTCATTAATAATGGTTGAAATTTAATTTACAGTGCTATCATGAGTACAGGTCTGTAGCAGAACACATTTGCTTGTCAAAATTGAGAAAATGTGAGATTAATGGTAATCTTTGCTGTTATGTCTGTTTTAAGAAAAAAAAAGAAAAAAAAATGCCTTGTAGTCTCACATTTTTAAGGCTCGATATGAAAGTTCATAGGTAGATAGATCTCAACAAGATGAAGGGTTTTGCACAAGAATTATAACTCTTATCGCACTTTGTTATTTTTCATTCTTAAATTTTGCCCCATGCGGGGAGCATAACCGGTTCCTGACGGCCCTTGTTATACAAAAGCAGTCAGAGAAAAATAAATCTGAATTCCTAATGGGAAGTCATGTTTTGATTATTAAACTCACTAGAAGTAGTGCCGTGATATAATCATTGTCATCTAAGATTAGTTTCGTAGTACTTTTTTATTTCAGTTCTGACAGTTACAAATTTGTGCATATTTAAGTTACTTTATACGCTGGAGTCAAGAACAGCTAAAATTGATAGAAATGCTTCCCTAAACTTTGGCTGGATGGAAGACAACTGGATCAGACTGTACATGAATCTACATCACTCAATGAAAGGCTATATTGATCCAGAGATCTGTTTTTCACAACTAACAAAACAAAGAAAATACTAATGTCTAAACAGAGTCATAATTCAAGCACAAAATTGATAAAACTAGGACAAAATGGTAAACAAAAGAAAGGTTTACATAGAGACTCCTGAAAAAAGTACAAGCTGAACAGGATTACATGTTCCACAGGGGCAATCATACCTGCTTCATCGACAACACTTGCCATTTAACGTTTAAACTGAAAATTAATAAAACATGATGTGACAATCTTCTTTTATAATTTAGCTTGTTGAGGATGATCTATATGTTTATATTGATTGTTTTTAAAGCAAAACAGAAACAATGAAATAAAACCAAACATATGATGGTGTGGATACTGCAGCTGTTTTAAAGAAAGTGATAGCTATTTCTGTATATTGTTATGGTTGTAAAGGCTGTTCAAATTCTGAATTCATTATTATATTCTAAAACTCCAAATGTTGACTAACAAATTCAAGCTGCAGTCTAGTATGTATTGGAGAGGTGGTAATCCAAGCTGGGGTCTAGTATGTTCTGGAGAGACAGTATCCCAAGCTGGGGTCTAGTATGTTCTGGAGAGACAGTATCCCAAGCTGGGGTCTAGTATATATTGAAGAGGTGGTAAAGTCTTTCTCAGAAGATTGAATTACATCAAATTAAAAGACCTTTACTGCAGCATGAATTACCATCTGATTTATAAACAAAATCCATTACATCCTGAGTTTTGTTTCAGAACCTGTATCCCTTTTATGACAAATTACCAGTTTTCCTGCAAGCAATGCAGTCCCAACAGTTTGGAATATTTCAACAGAAAACAAGCAAGTAAGTGAATTAATGTTGTGTTCTGTTTGTGGAAACAAGGGTTGTTCAGCATATCAATAAATTATGTTATCATGAAACCTTCAATAATTATTGAGATTTGAACCATAAACACTGCTTGGTATTTATAGAAACATCCACTAAACATTATTTATTTTCATGAATGCTTTAGTGAACTTTAATCCTTTTCACTTTATGATGAATAGATTATCAATTGTTTGAGAAAGGTTGAGGAACAATAAAGAATAAATTGCTCTATGGAGTGCTTGGATTTTGATTAAAAGCAATTATACAAGTGTTACTGATTTCAAAATAAAAAGAAAAAAGATATGCTGAAAGATAGTCGGGAGTTGCTTCCTTTGATAGTAATTACTTTGCTTTTGTTTTTCTAGGTTTTACACAGATTTGTTACACCACAATTGCTAATTTAACAAACCAGGCCAGGAGCCGAGGAGAGGAAAAAATGTTGTTCTCAAAAGAGAGGGTATATACAAACATTTAACCTATCTATAACTGTTTAAATTTGGAGAAAAAACTGGTACAGTAAGATGTAGAGCTATAAAATATCATCATGGTGTCAGTTTTATATCACATGATTTATTTTCCTCGTCTTATCTGTGATGGAAACTCACAGATATGAGACTAAAGTTGCTTCACTTGTACTAGTGGTGTTGTCAGCATTTCACTTTAAAGTTTTGTGTTTAGATCTGCTGCTCAAAAAGTTCAAGTCCAAATTAACAAAACTGCCAGATTTTACGGTCCAGTAAGTCTGAAAATCATGGAAGCTGGGTGTATATCTAAAATGAATATTTTTTGAGATTTTGAAAAAAATATTTAAACAAGTACAGTAAAATATCAGGGAAGATATTGGAAATAGAGATATTTGGAAAGAGAGAGATTTTCAGGTGAAAATGAGATTTTTAGAGACAAATAATTAATACACTGTTGTACAAGATAGAGTGAAGAACTAATGTAATGTCTCTTTTAAATTTTGACTTTTTCTCATTGTCGTTCTTCATATATTAAAAGTATTTCCTGTCAAAATTGATTTATTTAGGAAAAACATCATTTAATGACACAATTTATCTACTTTGTATAAAATGATATAGGTAGTAAGAAATGAATGAAGTGTGATGATTTGGGGCTCCTAATTAGACTTGTATATGTACACTTCATCAGTCTACATGTGATGATTTGGGGCTCCTAATTAGACTTGTGTATTGTATATGTACACTTCATCAGTCTACATGTGATGATTTGGGGCTCCTAATTAGACTTGTGTATTGTATATGTACACTTCATCAGTCTACATGTGATGATTTGGGGCTCCTAATTAGACTTGGATATTGTATATGTACACTTCATCAGTCTACATGTGATGATTTGGGGCTCCTAATTAGACTTGTATATGTACACTTCATCAGTCTACATGTGATGATTTGGGGCTCCTAATTAGACTTGTGTATTGTATATGTACACTTCATCAGTCTACATGTGATGATTTGGGGCTCCTAATTAGACTTGTGTATTGTATATGTACACTTCATCAGTCTACATGTGATGATTTGGGGCTCCTAATTAGACTTGTATATGTACACTTCATCAGTCTACATGTGATGATTTGAGACTCCTAATTAGACTTGTATATGTACACTTCATCAGTCTACATGTGATGATTTGGGGCTCCTAATTAGACTTGTATATGTACACTTCATCAGTCTACATGTGATGATTTGGGGCTCCTAATTAGACTTGTGTATTGTATATGTACACTTCATCAGTCTACATGTGATGATTTGGGGCTCCTAATTAGACTTGTGTATTGTATATGTACACTTCATCAGTCTACATGTGATGATTTGGGGCTCCTAATTAGACTTGTATATGTATATACACTTCATCAGACTACATGTGATGATTTGGGGCTCCTAATTAGACTTGTATATTGTATATGTACACTTCATCAGTCTACATGTGATGATTTGGGGCTCCTAATTAGACTTGTATATTGTATATGTACACTTCATCAGTCTACATGTGATGATTTGGGGCTCCTAATTAGACTTGTATATGTACACTTCATCAGTCTACATGTGATGATTTGGGGCTCCTAATTAGACTTGTGTATTGTATATGTACACTTCATCAGTCTACATGTGATGATTTGGGGCTCCTAATTAGACTTGTATATGTACACTTCATCAGTCTACATGTGATGATTTGGGGCTCCTAATTAGACTTGTGTATTGTATATGTACACTTCATCAGTCTACATGTGATGATTTGGGGCTCCTAATCAGACTTGTGTATTGTATATGTACACTTCATCAGTCTACATGTGATGATTTGGGGCTCCTAATTAGACTTGTGTATTGTATATGTACACTTCATCAGTCTACATGTGATGATTTGGGGCTCCTAATTAGACTTGTATATGTATATGTACACTTCACTACATGTGATCATCTAATTAGACTTGTATATGTACACTTCATCTACATGTGATGATTTGGGGCTCCTAATTAGACTTGTGTATTGTATATGTACACTTCATCAGTCTACATGTGATGATTTGGGGCTCCTAATTAGACTTGTATATGTACACTTCATCAGACTACATGTGATGATTTGGGGCTCCTAATTAGACTTGTGTATTGTATATGTACACTTCATCAGACTACATGTGATGATTTGGGGCTCCTAATTAGACTTGTATATGTACACTTCATCAGTCTACATGTGATGATTTGGGGCTCCTAATTAGACTTGTGTATTGTATATGTACACTTCATCAGTCTACATGTGATGATTTGGGGCTCCTAATTAGACTTGTATATGTACACTTCATCAGTCTACATGTGATGATTTGGGGCTCCTAATTAGACTTGTATATGTACACTTCATCAGACTACATGTGATGATTTGGGGCTCCTAATTAGACTTGTATATGTACACTTCATCAGACTACATGTGATGATTTGGGGCTCCTAATTAGACTTGTGTATTGTATATGTACACTTCATCAGTCTACATGTGATGATTTGGGGCTCCTAATTAGATTTGTGTATTGTATATGTACACTTCATCAGTCTACATGTGATGATTTGGGGCTCCTAATTAGATGATTTGGGGCTCCTAATAGACTTGTGTATTGTATATGTACACTTTCAGTCTACATGTGATGATTTATTGTATATGTACACTTCATCATGTGATGATTTGGGGCTCCTACTTGTATATGTACACTTCATGTCTACATGATGATTTGGGGCTCCTAATTAGACTTGGATATTGTATATGTACACTTCATCAGTCTACATGTGATGATTTGGGGCTCCTAATCAGACTTGTGTATTGTATATGTACACTTCATCAGTCTACATGTGATGATTTGGGGCTCCTAATTAGACTTGTATATGTACACTTCATCAGTCTACATGTGATGATTTGGGGCTCCTAATTAGACTTGTGTATTGTATATGTACACTTCATCAGACTACATGTGATGATTTGGGGCTCCTAATTAGACTTGTGTATTGTATATGTACACTTCATCAGTCTACATGTGATGATTTGGGGCTCCTAATTAGACTTGTGTATTGTATATGTACACTTCATCAGTCTACATGTGATGACATGTGTATATGATTTGGGGCTCCTAATTAGACTAATTAGTGTGTATTGTATATGTACACTTCATCAGTCTACATGTGATGATTTGGGGCTCCTAATTAGACTTGTGTATTGTATATGTACACTTCATCAGTCTACATGTGATGATTTGGGGCTCCTAATTAGACTTGTGTATTGTATATGTACACTTCATCAGTCTACATGTGATGATTTGGGGCTCCTAATTAGACTTGTGTATTGTATATGTACACTTCATCAGTCTACATGTGATGATTTGGGGCTCCTAATTAGACTTGTGTATTGTATATGTACACTTCATCAGTCTACATGTGATGATTTGGGGCTCCTAATTAGATATTGTATATGTACACTTCATTCAGTCTAATGTAGATTTGTCCTAATCATTATGTATATGTACACTTCATCAGTCTACATGTGATGATTTGGGGCTCCTAATCAGACTTGTGTATTGTATATGTACACTTCATCAGTCTACATGTGATGATTTGGGGCTCCTAATTAGACTTGTATATGTACACTTCATCAGTCTACATGTGATGATTTGGGGCTCCTAATCAGACTTGTGTATTGTATATGTACACTTCATCAGTCTACATGTGATGATTTGGGGCTCCTTGTGTATTGTATATGTAATCATAGACATGTGATGATTTGCTCCTAATTAGACTTGTATATGTACACTTCATCAGTCTACATGTGATGATTTGGGGCTCCTAATCAGACTTGTGTATTGTATATGTACACTTCATCAGTCTACATGTGATGATTTGGGGCTCCTAATCAGACTTGTGTATTGTATATGTACACTTCATCAGTCTACATGTGATGATTTGGGGCTCCTAATTAGACTTGTGTATACAATGTATACACTTCATCAGTAATTACTTTAGACTTGTATATGTACACTTCATCAGTCTACATGTGATGATTTGGGGCTCCTAATCAGACTTGTGTATTGTATATGTACACTTCATCAGTCTACATGTGATGATTTGGGGCTCCTAATTAGACTTGTATATGTACACTTCATCAGTCTACATGTGATGATTTGGGGCTCCTAATTAGACTTGTGTATTGTATATGTACACTTCATCAGTCTACATGTGATGATTTGGGGCTCCTAATTAGACTTGTATATTGTATATGTACACTTCATCAGTCTACATGTGATGATTTGGGGCCCTAATTAGACTTGTATATTGTATATGTACACTTCATCAGACTACATGTATATGTACACTTCATCAGACTACATGTGATGATTTGGGGCTCCTAATTAGACATGTATATTGTATATGTACACTTCATCAGTCTACATGTGATGATTTGGGGCTCCTAATTAGACTTGTGTATTGTGTATGTACACTTCATCAGTCTACATGTGATGATTTGGGGCTCCTAATTAGACATGTGTATTGTATATGTACACTTCATCAGTCTACATGTGATGATTTGGGGCTCCTAATTAGACTTGTGTATTGTATATGTACACTTCATCAGTCTACATGTGATGATTTGGGGCTCCTAATTAGACTTGTGTATTGTATATGTACACTTCATCAGTCTACATGTGATGATTTGGGGCTCCTAATTAGACTTGTATATGTACACTTCATCAGTCTACATGTGATGATTTGGGGCTCCTAATTAGACTTGTGTATTGTATATGTACACTTCATCAGTCTACATGTGATGATTTGGGGCTCCTAATTAGACTTGTATATGTACACTTCATCAGACTACATGTGATGATTTGGGGCTCCTAATTAGACTTGTATATGTACACTTCATCAGTCTACATGTGATGATTTGGGGCTCCTAATTAGACTTGTATATGTACACTTCATCAGACATGTGATGATTTGGGGCTCCTAATTAGACTTGTATATGTACACTTCATCAGTCTACATGTGATGATTTGGGGCTCCTAATTAGACTTGTGTATTGTATATGTACACTTCATCAGTCTACATGTGATGATTTGGGGCTCCTAATTAGACTTGTGTATTGTATATGTACACTTCATCAGACTACATGTGATGATTTGGGGCTCCTTGTGTATTGTATATGTACACTTATCAGTCTACTACATGTATTGTATATGTACACTTCATCAGTCTACATGTGATGATTTGCTCCTAATTAGACTTGTATATGTACACTTCATCCTATGTGATGAGCTCCTAATTAGACTTGTATATGTACACTTCATCAGTCTACATGTGATGATTTGGGGCTCCTAATTAGACTTGTGTATTGTATATGTACACTTCATCAGACTACATGTGATGATTTGGGGCTCCTAATTAGACTTGTATATGTACACTTTCTACATGTGATGATTTGGGGCTCCTAATTAGACTTGTGTATTGTATATGTACACTTCATCAGACTACATGTGATGATTTGGGGCTCCTAATTAGACTTGTGTATTGTATATGTACACTTCATCAGACTACATGTGATGATTTGGGGCTCCTAATTAGACTTGTGTATTGTATATGTACACTTCATCAGACTACATGTGATGATTTGGGGCTCCTAATTAGACTTGTGTATTGTATATGTACACTTCATCAGTCTACATGTGATGATTTGGGGCTCCTAATTAGACTTGTGTATTGTATATGTACACTTCATCAGACTACATGTGATGATTTGGGGCTCCTAATTAGACTTGTATATGTACACTTCATCAGTCTACATGTGATGATTTGGGGCTCCTAATTAGACATGTATATTGTATATGTACACTTCATCAGACTACATGTGATGATTTTGGGCTCCTAATTAGACTTGTGTATTGTATATGTACACTTCATCAGACTACATGTGATGATTTGGGGCTCCTAATTAGACTTGTATATTGTATATGTACACTTCATCAGTCTACATGTGATGATTTGGGGCTCCTAATTAGACTTGTATATGTACACTTCATCAGACTACATGTGATGATTTGGGGCTCCTAATTAGACTTGTATATTGTATATGTACACTTCATCAGACTACATGTGATGATTTGGGGCTCCTAATCAGACTTGTGTATTGTATAAGTACACTTCATCTGACTGCATGCTCTGTCCCTTTTGTGACAAAATTCTTAAATATGCTGTTTCTAAAAACATTTGGAATGTTTTTGGGTTTGCTAAATGAACAAACAGAAGGTAATGATAAATTGTGTAGTGCTTACACGTCTAAGAATGATTATAGCATGCTGTGATATTGATCAGAGACTTCAATGGCAATTTAATGGTTTATAATTGATAAAAATATATGTATTTTTAATGAGTGACTCATCACAAATGTCAATATGCTTCTATCTCAGGAAATTATACCATACATTGAAAAGCAGTGGGAAAATTTGACAACAATGCCAAGGAGAATTAAGACAACATGGCACACAACAGTCACTAAAACTCTGGTAACTATACACCCTGTGTTGGTAATTATACAACCTGTGTTTGTAATTAGACACCCAGTGTTTGTAATTAGACACCCAGTGTTGGTAATTAAACGTCTTATGTTGTTATGGAGAATGGCTTTACTGCTTAAATTTCATGACAAAAATAGACGAATGGAATCATTTACATGTATTTCTACATTTTGATAAAAGTTCAGCTCAAATATAAGTGACTAAGTTTCAAAAAATATTATTTTGTTTCTGTGATGTATACCAGACTGTTGATATTTACAGACAAAAGAGACAGAACTCTTTTCGTCCTCTGAAGAAACAATAGGCGACCCTCTGTATGGCCTGGTCATGGCGGTAAGTAAAGTTTTAATCTGTAAGAATTTTATCAGATAGATACAGTTGTGGGTTTACACAATGTTACATGATGTGTGCATGACATCTTCAGGACAGGAGCATTTTCTATCGTACATCTGTGTGCACAATGTGCGATTGATTGGTGGTTGATATAAAAGAAATGACTTATGAATAAGTGTGAGATAGAGTTTATTTATTTTCTAGATATCTAATAATACAGTTGTGTATATTATCAAGCCATTTATTTACAGGTAACACACAGTATTGATAATACTGTAGCTATTACTGTATGAGAGGATTTTGAATATTTCTTTTATATTTCTGTAGGATTTGAACAAAGTTGGTCCTGGTTATGAATTATTGAAACAAAGCAGTGTTTTACAGACTGGACAGAAGACAGGGTCACTTGTAGACAGTGAGTTTCACATCACACACTTCTTATTGGTGGTTAAATTGTACAATTTCAATTTTTTTCATTTGCAAAGTTTTGTTAACAAATTTATTCAGCACTTACAGGTCTGTAATGTCATTATTTTCTAGGTAAAGGACGAGGAACAAAAAGGAAAGCACCAGACAGCATACAGCCTGTCGGATCCAGACTGAAAAGGAGGTCGGTTAAGAACTAAAATGATATATAAGTAAGGCCTACCAATATGAAATATGACATGAAGTTGTCTTTTCCTGAACAGTGATTGGATTTAACTGTATTTGGAAGAGCTAATGGTGGTGGATTATCTGTTGGCTTTTTATTAACTTTACCAATAGTTTGTCTGATCACTGAGTTATTAATGTTTTAGTTGTCTTGACATCTATAAGACATCCTCTAAACTTGTCTTTGTTTCCTGTGCAGTGATGTAAACACCATGGCCAAGCTTGCCCCTCATGGCTACCCATTAGAGCACCCCTTTAACAAGGATGGATATCGCTACGTCCTGGCCGAGTCTGACCCCCATGCACCAAACAGACAAGCTTTTGATGAGAGTCTGGACTGGGCTGGCAAACCTATCCCTGGATATCTGTACAGGACTTTCCTTGGAGCTGAAGTTCTTATGGCACTCAATGACAGAGGTACTGTCAATTGTCAATTAAGATACTTTAGTATATATATCAGTAGATAATAAGTAGTGATCAGTTCAATAATTCAGCACAATCTTCATCATTAAAAGTTCAGGTAGCATGAAACAGTTAATTAGCCTTTTACTTGATAGTACTGGGTATAGGTCATGTTTGAGATATAACAGATTGGTTGTGAAAAATATACCTTTACTTGTATATTTATTTATAAACATAACAATTGCAGTTGCAGTAGAAAATGAAATTGTTGAAAGATCACTAATTTTGACCCAAACCTACACCTTTGTAGAAACTGTGTACTACTATCTCTGGAAAACTATTCTCCCGGAAGTAAAATCTTCATTACAAAAAACATTAAAAGTTACCAACCTTGGTAGCTGAAAGTGTGAAACAGTTAATTCAGCCACACACGGTAATTCAGTATTTAGTGATTTATATATACAGCCTCATCAGGGCCACACATTGTAAACTCCAAGGACTGATTTATATATACAGCCTCATCAGGGACACACATTGTAAACTGTGTGGACTGATTTATATATACAGCCTCATCAGGGCCACACATTGTAAACTGTGTGGACTGATTTATATATACAGCCTCATCAGGGCCACACATTGTAAACTCCAAGGACTGATTTATATATACAGCCTCATCAGGGACACACATGTGTGGACTGATTTATATATACAGCCTCATCAGGGCCACACATTGTAAACATTTATAAGGCCACACTGTAAATGGACTTATATATACAGCCTCATCAGGGCCACACATTGTAAACTCCAAGGACTGATTTATATATACAGCCTCATCAGGGCCACACATTGTAAACTGTGTGGACTGATTTATATATACAGCCTCATCAGGGCCACACATTGTAAACTCCAAGGACTGATTTATATATACAGCCTCATCAGGGCCACACATTGTAAACTGTGTGGACTGATTTATATATACAGCCTCATCAGGGCCACACATTGTAAACTCCAAGGACTGATTTATATATACAGCCTCATCAGGGCCACACATTGTAAACTGTGTGGACTGATTTATATATACAGCCTCATCAGGGCCACACATTGTAAACTGTGTGGACTGATTTATATATACAGCCTCATCAGGGCCACACATTGTAAACTCCAAGGACTGATTTATATATACAGCCTCATCAGGGCCACACATTGTAAACTCCAAGGACTGATTTATATATACAGCCTCATCAGGGCCACACATTGTAAACTGTGTGGACTGATTTATATATACAGCCTCATCAGGGACACACATTGTAAACTCCAAGGACTGATTTATATATACAGCCTCATCAGGGCCACACATTGTAAACTGTGTGGACTGATTTATATATACAGCCTCATCAGGGCCACACATTGTAAACTGTGTGGACTGATTTATATATACAGCCTCATCAGGGCCACACATTGTAAACTGTGTGGACTGATTTATATATACAGCCTCATCAGGGACACACATTGTAAACTGTGTGGACTGATTTATATATACAGCCTCATCAGGGACACACATTGTAAACTCCAAGGACTGATTTATATATACAGCCTCATCAGGGCCACACATTGTAAACTGTGTGGACTGATTTATATATACAGCCTCATCAGGGCCACACATTGTAAACTGTGTGGACTGATTTATATATACAGCCTCATCAGGGCCACACATTGTAAACTCCAAGGACTGATTTATATATACAGCCTCATCAGGGCCACACATTGTAAACTGTGTGGACTGATTTATATATACAGCCTCATCAGGGACACACATTGTAAACTGTGTGGACTGATTTATATATACAGCCTCATCAGGGCCACACATTGTAAACTCCAAGGACTGACTGTGTGGACTGATTTATATATACAGCCTCATCAGGGCCACACATTGTAAACTCCAAGGACTGATTTATATATACAGCCTCATCAGGGCCACACATTGTAAACTGTGTGGACTGATTTATATATACAGCCTCATCAGGGCCACACATTGTAAACTGTGTGGACTGATTTATATATACAGCCTCATCAGGGCCACACATTGTAAACTCCAAGGACTGATTTATATATACAGCCTCATCAGGGCCACACATTGTAAACTCCAAGGACTGATTTATATATACAGCCTCATCAGGGCCACACATTGTAAACTGTGTGGACTGATTTATATATACAGCCTCATCAGGGCCACACATTGTAAACTGTGTGGACTGATTTATATATACAGCCTCATCAGGGACACACATTGTAAACTGTGTGGACTGATTTATATATACAGCCTCATCAGGGCCACACATTGTAAACTCCAAGGACTGATTTATATATACAGCCTCATCAGGGACACACATTGTAAACTGTGTGGACTGATTTATATATACAGCCTCATCAGGGCCACACATTGTAAACTCCAAGGACTGATTTATAT